TTTACCAAATTTTTACTTGCCTAAAGCAGAGCACCATCATAGGTGAACATGACCCTAGGCCAAAGGAGAAATGGAATAATGATTAGGCTTCCACACTCCACTTTTTTTTGGGGGTGGGGGGGAATGGTGAAGTATTGAAAGTTTCTAGGCTTATGATTCCAAATATTAATTTTTCTGAGTAAACAATGTAAAGGGTAATATACATTGTACATTGTTTTCTGAGTAAACAATGTAAATATAGAAAGTATATTCTTCTAACACTGCAGAAAATGACCTAAACTGTCAAACTCCACAAAGCAACTCTCAACAACAAATACTACCCTGTTTCTCCAACAATACGGCCTCCCCCAATAGGAAGTCCCACCATGTTTTATAGGTATGAAATGAAATTAAGCCCCTCCCCCCAAATTAAGGCCTATATTAAAACATGCGAAATGGGGGGAAATGGCGGGGGGGGGGGCTTGCCATTAGGAAGTACTTTTGTTGCACACCCGGATATGGTGCTGCCTGCGCTGACCCTGATACAAAGTTCCCCACCAATGCCGAGGTCAACATCCAAGCCGTCACCACCCGCCTGCCTGAAGATGCAGGGGGGGGGGGGAAATTAAGTCACCCCCGAAAAGACGGCCTAGCCATTTTTTCGGGGCTCAAAAAAAAAAAAAGACCCGGCCTTATTATATGAGAAACACGGTAGTATTTGACTACATGGGGTCAGTATTGCAATCCTGCACATGCTTGCCTCCATCTTAATAGGATTTATTATTCATGCATTCTATTATCTGATCATTTTCAACAGAACTAGGTTTGGGTTCTGGCATCACAATATAACGAGTGCTGCTGGCTCTAATATGTAACTACAAGTGCCTGATAAGAAGCTCTTTGGAGCAGACCTTGATATCTGTCCAAGCACTGATTCTGTTTCCAACTTCACTCCAATTTATGTAGCACATTTAGTGTAATCTAAGTACAGACTAATTTGTAGAGACACAATGAGAAAATTGAAAGAATAATTTTGACAGTTTAATTTTCTCACTGCAAAATCTAAATTGCCACATACTATTTTCAGAGACCTTCCTTTCATTCAAAAAGTAAGCCTAGGATTACTTACAAGGCAGAATTGTAAAATATGGCAATAAAGTTGGTAGATGCAGCAAACTGGAGTTAAAGGCCTTGAACATGATGATCAGCACAGCAGGAAATCATTGTTTAATGTTATTTGGGACACTTACTGCCCCATCTTCACAATCCTCCACTTAAAATGTTATTGTCTATTCTCATCACCATTCTGGAACTAGCCCTCATCCCACCTCCTGCCAAAAAATAACCCTTAAAAACCGTGCGGTTTTTAATCTCCCTCCAGTTTTTAATCTCCCCCAATCGCCATTGCAAAATGTTGTGAGAAATTGCAAATCAAGGCTTCAACTTCAGACCCGCTTGTTCAAAAAGAGTTAATCAATCTTACGAATTTCGGTTTGAGTTTTCGGGGGAAAAAACTACTTGCCAACGCGGAGTACCACCGCTCCGGTCTTTTCGGGTCGGCATCACTCTTAGCTTGACCCTCCAACTTCCAGCCCTTTGGTGAAAACTTCCTAAGCCTTCCTCTTGCGCGTCTCCCCCTTTTCCATCCACTAATGGGGATTTTAACACCGAAAGCTCCCCGCTGAAGGGAAGCGAAGGGCAGAGGGGGAAGGAGGCCAACCTCCCCACCCTGTTTATTTCGGCGTCCCTTCCTAAGAAGCATCCCCGCCCCCCACTCCCAGCTCTCGAATCCTCCCTTCCCTCTCCCCCGGTTTCCAGGCCAACCTGCCGGCCGGGCCTTCCTGGAGAAAAGCCAAGCGGGCTCTGCCGAAAGTTTTTCTTCCGCTCGGCTCCCTTCGCACCCCTTCAAGCCTCCGGCTGCGGAGGGCACGAGCAGGAAAGAAGCACAAAGCCCCCGTAGGGAAACCCGGGAAATTTCGGACGGGCCTACTTGGGAGGTGAAGCCGCACCGTCCAGGCCGGCGGAGAGAGCCGCGGGAGGAGGGGAAGGTCTCCACCGCGTTTAAAGGGCTCCGCGTCAGGCCGGGGCTGAGGAGAACGAAGTGTGGCCCCTTCTTTTAGAAGGGTGGGGGAGAGGTCGAGGCTAACCAGGCGGCCTAGAGCCCCGGCAGCAGCAGCAGAGGCGGCGGCGCAGAGAGCTCCGGCCGGCCTCCTCCCCGCGCCGCATCTCATCTTCTCGGCGAGTGGCCCTCGCAGAAAGAAGCGGGTGCTGCTGCCCCTTCTCAAGGGAGGGCAGAGAAAGGAGGGCGAAGCGGCAAGCAAGCGGTGGCCTCTTCCCAAGTGGGAAAATGGGCGCCGGGAGCAGCTCTTATGGCCGGGATAGGGCTCCCCTTGGCCCCCGGCAGAGGACCGGCCAGTTCGGGGGACTGTTTCGGGGGGAGGGAAAAAAAGTTTAAAGACCCGGAATAATGGGGGAGGGTCCCTGCGTTTGGAGGAGGGGGACAAGACCGGGCGGGCTGCGAGCGGCGGGGATGAGGAGTTAGGGGACCCTTGGGAACGGGGCGCGGGGGGGAGAAGGGCGGCCCGGAGCTCTCACCTGTGCAAAAGTAGGGCGGGGGGGGGAAGAGGAGGGAAGATCTCGCTCAACGGAGGGGCTCTGCTCCCCTCGCCCTCCGAGCAGCACTAGCAGCAGCCATTCATTGTCAGCCTAGGCAAGCTCAGCGGAGAGCAGCGCACTCGATCGAGCCGGGGGAGCGCAGCGCGCCGCCAAGCCGAGCCTCCAGCGCTCTGCTCCCGAAGGCCTGCCTAGTGGAGCTCCGAACCAGCCGCTGACTCGCTCGTTTTACCCGCTCCAGCCGTCGGCACCTACTTTTCTCTCGAACCCGAAGGGATGTTTGCTTTTGAGCTCGCCGGCCAGCCCGGCCCGATTTCGTTCTATCAGACTTGGAAACTACTTTCCATGCCGGAGGGAGGGGTGATAGGAGAGCAGGGGGAAAAAAAAAGTAATCTGGATTTTGGAATATCGGAACATTTAAAGGAAAAGTCTGCATATATGTAAAGGACATCTTAAATTTTCCTTAAGATGTTCCTATATCTATTAGATTTACAGTGTTGAATCATTCCTTCCCAATAAAGGAACAAAAGGTTTTCCCTTCCTCCAGAACTAATTCTCACCTAAATTCGGTACAGTAGCCTAACGATACAGAACTTTCTTATAAATCTAAGGCCAAATCACCCAGTTTCTCTTGAGTAAAATTAAACAACTGTCCTTTACAAATCCATAACCTGGTACTGAAGGTTTCAGAAGTCAAGAGGTGGAAAGTGATGATGGCGTGGACTTTTTAAATTAAAATTAAAATTAAAAATGTTCAGTGTCCTTAGTAACCTCAAAACTTGGATGTATTGGCTTGAACTCCAGGCCGAGGTGTCTACAAATGTCAAATTTGGTCAGAAATCATGGTAGGTTAGCATGCAGAATCTATTTGATTCATACTAGTTTTCTGATTTCAAGGGACCATATTACTAAGCAATAAGATAAAGCATTAGACTTTTCTAGATAAGTATTTGTAGAATGAGGGAAGAAATATTAATCATTATTTCTTTAGCTGAAGTTATGTAGTTTTCTCACTAAGATCAGTGCAAAAGTTAAGCACATATCTAAATCGTTAATTCTTTTGTATTCTGATGCTCTAAAACAGGAGTGTCAAACTCATGTCATGGTGATGTCACATGACATTGGGTCTTTTTTCCCCTTCGCTAAACGGGGCATGGGTATGGCCTGCACGTGACGCATCCAGCCCATGGGCCTGGAGTTTGACACCCCTGCTCTATAAATAGTCCTCGACTATCATTTGTTTAGTGACTGAAGTTATAATGGCACTGAAAAAAATGACTTCTTTTTCACATTTACAGCAGCATCCTTGTGCTTGCATGATCAAAATGCAGGTGCTTGGCAACTGGCATGTATTTATGAATGTTGCAGACTCCTGGGGTCATGTGATCAGTTTTTGTGACGTGACAAGCAAAGTCAATGGGGAAGCGAGATTTACTTAGCAACCATGTTACTAACAACAACTGCAGTGATTCACTTAACAACTATGGCAAGAAAGGTAACAAATGGGGCAAAACTCACTTAACAACTGACTTACTTAGCAGTTAAAATTTTGGGCTCAGTTATGGTTGTAAGATGAGGATGATCTGTAACTGGGTTGTAATTTTGCTTCAGTAATAAAAACCTACATATATAAGGGTCTGAATGAGCAAAAAAAGCGAATAAAATGTTTCAGAGTTTTAGATAGATTTAAAAAGGGCCTTTTGCAGATTGTGACTGCAATTTGTTCTATTCTGAACTATCTGGAAATTAAATTATCATCAACTTCAAATTTTTGATGATTGATTATCATCAACTTCAAATTTTCATTTTCATCCCATTCTTCTAGTCTCAACCACATTTGAAATGAAGTTGAGAATTCCATTTGAAAATGAGATTTCATGAGATTAGACTCATCTATTGTTACACCTTCCTGTCTTGCCATAACTAAATGTGGTTTTGGGGGTAAAAATATTCTCTTTGCTAATGTGAGAGCATTGTGAATGTTGATTAAGTTATATTAGGAATAACAATATCATTTAGGTTCAAAAAGAAGCAAACCTGAAGTATTAGGGTTTTTCATGTATGTATGTATGTATGTATGTATGTATGTATGTATGTATGTATGTATGTATATAACAGAGGTGGTATTCAGCAGGTTCTCAGGGGCCATCTGTTAACAGCTGGATTCACATGTCCCAAAGGGGCTTTTTTTTTTTTTTAAAAAAAAGCCCCTTTGGGACAACAATGACATGGATGAGTTAGAATCTCCATAGACAGCTGGATTCACATATTGCACTAACCACAAACTAAAAAAAGTATGTTTAGTATATTAAAAGTTCAACCTGAATGATATCACTAAAGTTGCCAAAACAGAATGTTTCTTCATATGATTCTGTGCTTTATAAGGTAGCTTAAACTTCAGAACTTTCTTAACATGCAGCTTCAACATTATCTTCTGTTAACCAATTAGCAACTAAAACAATGCCTAGACTTTAGCTTGAAATCTAAAATGTGGCCATTACATTCTAAATTCCTGGATCTCTTTAGAAGATGGATACAGTAAACATACAATAAATGAATGAGTGCAACATAATTGTTTAGGTTCTGATATGTTTAATAAAAGAGGAATTCTACCAGGTACAGCTTTTTTCACCCCTTTGAAAAATTGCCTGCTACCATATATTTTTTTCAGAGATGCAGGAATTTCTGCTGCTGTTTGGCCTAATTTAATCCATTTAATATATTTTTGCACACTTTGAAAATTAATAATAAATGACTTATCCACAGCTATCTAATCTAGATGGTATTTATTTTGCTCTAAGACCAACATTTTTTTGTTCTAATGAGTGAATACATGCTTATTTGAAACACTGCTGCTCACCATAAGGCAGTAATACTTTTAGATCTTCTCTTAAAGGCAGTTACTTAATTTATTCACCATTATGGTAAATCATAATGTGCTCTGTCTGGTTTTGGTTTAATATATGTGTACCAAGAACTGTCTGTAGTGACTTGCACATGACTCTGAGAAAATGTAGTTACAGTTACAATTTGGCCTTGCTGAATTGCTATTTTTTTACTAAGGCTGGTGAAAGTTGAGGGACATGAAATATCAATTTCTGTATTAAATACTAAACTCTATTAGTTGGTGATTTGTGCATCACTGTATTCATATAAGAAAAGACGTATTCCATTATTATTTTTTTCAGTTTGAGGTTAAAAGATTAAAATTAAAAGGAAGATGGTGGTTATCAAAAAATTCAGGCTTTATAAAATAAGTTGCTTCATAAAAGTGGGTTTTTTAGTGTTGTAGTAAGACAGACAACTCTTAAGGCATCTTTTGCATCTATTAAACAGATACTTGTTATGAGCTTAAATGGCCAAACAGCTTCTATTGATAGGCCAGAGAGAGGTTCTTCCTTTATAAAATTATGAAGAAAAAGTCTGTAATATAATTAGTGTAGTTTTCATCTTGGTATTGATAGACACTTTGTAGTATCTTTAAGGAATACATGATGTTATTTATGAAAAAGGTATCAAGCTTGAAATTAAGATTTTAAATTTTGTTATAGGCTTTTGAATCGTGCTTTTTAAAGGGACAAATTTGGGGGAACAAATTTGTTTTTGTCAGTATTAAAATAGTGATCACTTTTTCACTTCAGATTTATGTTTCATTTCTCAAATAATGGAGTTGTACAAAACCAAAATATAATTTCACTAGGTCTATTTCAAAATATTAACGTGCCTTGATCCTTTTAAAACAGTAATAAGAATAGTTTATCTATTTTGAAAAATTAAGAAATTTCAGTTTTATTAAAGTAACAATCTTAATGGTAAAAGGAATCCCAAACTTTCTAAAATTGCAAAAACATTCTTGTTAATTTCTTTGTATCCTATCCTCTGGTAATGAAGCATATTTCTATAACATATGCAGTGGGGGCGGGGCATAGATGGAATAACAAATAGAATCATGTCCATATTCATGCATACAGCGTCTTCTGATGTTGAAGCAAATACATGAATATTTGGGGTGGGAAGAATGGAATGAGGCTAAGTATTGTGTCAGTTCACTTTTGTATTACACGTGAATAGCCTGTGCAAATATATTGCATAAAGAAGTCTTACACTAATTACATAGAGGTATATTCCCAAATACCTTTTAGGCAAAGTTCCCATTCCCAATGGGATCTTTTTATGCATATTTCAGGGGATCAGAAGTCTAAACCATTCACCTATAATTTTGAGCCACTGATTTCTATCAGAGCATTGGCTTTCATTCTCTAAAGGACATTCCCTGAATTTTGTGGTGCTTTTCTTGTTCATCTGCCTCCCACCTCACCTGTGTATAGGATATGGCTGCAGGGTGTAAGAAATTCTGAGAAAGATGTTTGTATGGTCTACATGCATTTGGGAAACCTGAAATTTTACAGTAATTAAGTTATGAAAGTTCATTTATGTTTACTGTATTTGCAAGATATTCTCGCTTATTGTTCAGTGAACATAGTTTATGTAACCATTGTTCTGAGTTTATATCATGCACTGAGCTATCAACTGACCACACTGTGTTACACAACATGCTAAACTATAATATTGTTGAGTAGTTTATGGTTCAGAATATTGTGTAAATACAGCCTATTAAAATGTTATCTTCTCTTGTTCAAGAGAAAAGCCTATCTTGAATATTACCTGTTTTCTAGGAATAGAGAAATCAGCTGAGCTCGTACAACACATTAAGCCATAAATCATGACATACAGAAAAAGAACTTTTAGGCTTATACAATATACTACAGAAATGGCAATGGTGATTTTGGCTTAGTGTGATTCATAATCTAATCACTAAATCACAAAAGTGATCCTAGCTCAGTGTCATTTGTGTTCACGTGACATACCTCTAATCATGTTTTAATCATGTCTTATTCCATTTGATGGATTTGTAAAACCACAGACAAGTCATAATTTCATCAAATGTTTTGTGCTGAAAAGTAGTTGTCTAGTTTATGTCATGATGTGTTGCACACACACAATCAATAACTGGCTGAATTCTGAAGATGAAACTTGGGGTCTTTTTTCCACGCAAAGCATGTTCAGTTGCTAATCCAGTATTGGTTAGCTCCTGC